TTCTGTCACTTCGTGAAACTCACCATTGCAAAGCAGGAGAAAAGGAGAACGCCTCCATCTCTGCTGCAAGGAAGCACATATCCAGCTTAGGGGACACCTCTGAGCAGCTCAAGTCACTAATGGGGCCCAGATGTGCCCAGAGGTGGCCCTGGCCCCCAGACCTGCTTGCTGGGACACTCACATGGCAACAGCTTTACAGCCAGTTTATTTCTTGGACTGATTTTAAAGAAATCCCAAGGGAAGAGCTAATGGCCCAGCCAAGTCCTGTAGTGGCTGCCCAATTTCTCCCCACTCTGGCTCTGAGCTGCGGCCCAGACATGGGGGCTTGTTTGGGTAGGAAGCCAACTGCCCAGAGCACAAGGGACTGTGGTGTTGGAAAGCTTCCATTTGGGGACCACCATAGTAAGTGGGTTCTTTTTTTTAAAAAAATATTTTATTATTTTTATTTTTGTGTGTATGAGTGTATTGCCTGCATGTGTTTAAGTGCACCCATGTCATGCAATGCCTGAGTAGGTCAGAAGAGGGTGTCGGATCCCCTGGAACTGGTTACAGATGGTGGTTAGCCACCATGTGGGTGCTGGTAATCGAACCCAGGTCCTTTGCAAGAGTAGCCACTGTTCTTAACTACTGGGCCATCTCTCCAGTCCCATCATAAGTGGGTTCTTTTATTTGAGGTTTTTGGAGACAAGATATCATGTAGCCCAGGTTGACCTCCAACTCAATAAGTTGCCAAGGGTGACCTTGAACTTCTGATTCTCACCTTCAGTGCTGGGATTACAGGCAAGTGCCACCATGCCTGGTTTATATAGGACTGGGGATCAAACCCAGAGATTCATGTACTAGGCCAGCACTCTGTTGACTGAAGCTCCCATGGTAACTCACATAGGTTTCACACAAAGCCTGAGTGTAAGTTGGACTGGTGGCAGGAGGCTGAGCAGAAGCAGGGTGTCTCCAAGGTCTCTAGGTTCCTCCCCACAACATGCAGGCTACATATCATGGCAGGAAGCAGAACTCAGCAGGAAGATCTGGCACCAGGACCTTGACCAAGTGGCCAAGTGATACCAGGGATGGGACCAGAGGCATGCTGCACCTTGTAACATCTTGCTCTGACAAAGGCCATCTGCCTTTACATCCTGCTGAGAGTACTGAGCCCAGACAGTTGTGAGGAAACCCCGGCACAGCTCAGAGGGACAGGAGGGTTCAGAGGGAACAGCACGGCTCCGAGGGACACACAGCCTCTGGCTGCTACTTTTTTCTTTCTTTCTTTCTTTCTTTCTTTCTTTCTTTCTTTCTTTCTTTCTTTCTTTCTTTCTCTCTCTCTCTTTCCTCTTTCTTTCTTTCTTTCTTTCTTATCTTTCTAGTTTTTTATTTTTATTTATTTGTCTTTTTGAGACAGGGTCTTCCTATAGGCCCAGGTGTCCTGGAACTTGCTATGTAGACCAGGCTATGTAGACCAGGCTGGCCTTGAACTCACAGAGATATGCCTTCTTTTTTTTTTTTTTTTTTGGTCTTTTTGAGACCGGGTCTCCCTGTAGCCCTAGCTAGCCTGGATTCACTATGGAGACCATGCTGGCCTCGAACTCACAGAGATCTGCCTGCTTCTGCCTCCCGAGTGCTGGGATTAAAGGCGTGTGCCACCATGCCTGACTTTTTCTTTTTGAGACAGGGTCTTGCTAGGTAGCTCAGGCTGGCCTTGAACTCCTGATAATCCTCTTGCCTCAGCCTCTCAAAGCTGGTATAAAGCCACCAGGCTTGGCTGACCTGCACTTTTCAAAACCACCAACATCATGGGTTGAGGATGTAATTCAGTGGTGGAGCACTTTGGCCAGCATATGTCAGGGCCTGGGTTATATCCCCAGTACCACCAAAATTCACAATGCCTATAATCTCATCACTCAAGAGGCAGAAGCAGGCAGATTGTTACAAGTCTGAGGCCAACCCAGTCTTCATAATGAGACCCTCTCAAAAAGCAATGAAAAGTCAGGGCTGGGAATATAATGCAGCTGGTAAAGTACTTGCCCAGCATGCACAGGCCCTGGTTCCATCCTCAGCACAGCATAAAATGAGTGTAGTTGTGCACACCTGGAATTCTACCACTTGGGGGATAGAGAAGTTCAGCATCATCCATTGCCATGTTATATAGAGGGTTTGAGGCTAGCCTGGGCTACATGAGACTCTGCCTCAGCCAAAAAAAAAAAAAAAAAAGGCAGGAGTATTGTTGGGAGTTTGCCTGAGGTACAAGAACAAGACTATTTCAAAAAACCAAATGTGAGAGGTGAGAGGGTTCTGTGGGCTGAAGGTACTTGCTGCCAATCCTGAAGACCTGAGTTTGATCCCTAGGACCCACATACTAGAAGGAGAGAACTGATCCCCTGCAAGTGGTCCTCCACAGGCTCGCTGTGGCACGATTACACACACACGCACGCACGCGCACGCACGCACGCACGCGCACACACACACACACACACACACACACACACACAAAACAAATAACAAGAATGTAACTCACTGATAAGGGTACCTAGCATACATGGGTAAGGTTCTGGGTTTCATCCCCAGTACCCCAAAAAGAAATCAATCAATTGATCTCCACTTGCTCAGTGCCACCTCCTGCAACCTCTAGAAGGCCTTTTCTCTTCCTGTGGCCATCAGCTGTAGATTTCTGTGACTGACCCACTTGCTGTCCCCACCGTTCCTTCTTCCTATCGAGGGTGGTCTTCCCAACTAGCCCCAGTCTGAGGCTCCTTCTGGGTCAGCTATGTAGTCCCCTGACACACACTGGGGTCCAACATCACACTGAAACAACCCCTCAAGTGTTCAAGACAACAGGGCCCCAGGCTTGGTGGGCACCAATCTAGTCCAAATCCCCAAGGCCACCAGAGCCCTGGGCCTGGCCATTTGTCACCCCTTATCTCTCACCTCCACCCTCACATGTTCTACTTCTCTTTCCTACCTGACTCTAATCTCTGCTCCCCCAGACAGCCTGGGGACCCTTGTTCCCAAGGTAAAGCAGCCTCCTGGCTTCAAAGACACCCAGCTGCCTTCTGAGCTGAATCTCAAAGCCCCAGGCTGGGCTCTCTCCTCTTGGCTTCCCTGTGGCTCCAGCCGGCAAAGTCTTGCTCAGGGGCCGCTCCTTCCAGCCCTTCAACCTGCTTTTCCCTGGTTCCTTCCCCCAGGTCTCCTGGGGGCGCAGTCACTCTCTCCTGTCCTCCTCCCTCGCAATGGAATGTCAACCCTTCTGAGGGCTCTGGAAGTCTTGGTGGGAGCCCCGCCTGCTGCTCTAGCCTCCTCAGCCTCTCATTCCTGGCACCACCACAGGAAAGCAGTGTATTTAATCACTTGTTTGTTTTCCATCTCCCCCACTTGAGTTCTATGAGTGCGGTGACTGTTCACAGGACCTGGCACACTCGGGCTCCCAGTACCCCAGTGAACGAATGAATGAACGAGTGAATGCCTCTTTACAGTCTCCCTGGACACACAGGCACTATTGCCCCTGATTTCCAAAGACAACTGGAGACTTGAGAAGAGGAGGAAATGGTCTGGTTCCTGGCAGTGAGGTGAGAGTCAAGGCCAGGAGCCAGGCCTACCTGACTCCCAGCACGCTCAGAGCCAGGCTAACTAAGTCCGAGGCCCAAGACCTCAGGCTAGCCTCTTAGCTCTGCAGTCTCTGGTCCTGGAGGCCCATCCCATCCCTCCAGGCCTCAGTGAAGTCACTCACTGGCCAACCTACTGTGGAGGGGACCTCCTGGGGACACAGTAGGCCTTCAGCCAGTTGGTGCCCAGCCCCCAGCGCCCACCTCCCTAACTTCCCTTCAGGGAGGCCCACCACAATTTGGCGATTGTTAGAGAACAGTTTTTTTTCCTTTTGGGAGGAAAGCTGTAAGTCATTAGGCTGCTCCCAGCCTGCGGGTCACCATTTCCTGTTTAGAAGAAAGACTCATCTCTCCTTTGGAGCTGGAAGCTCCCCCACCCCCAGCCTGACTGGACTGGGCTGTGAAGCTCCGCAGGCCGGACGCAGGCTCAGCTCCCCGCAGGAAACTGGCACCTTCGGCACCTTTTGTGCTCAAAAAGGACACTCATTTTCTCCTGGCCCCAGGAGGCCCCTGGCTGAGGTCACCACCACCAACCAGCCTGAGGTGAATTGCCCCAGCCCAGGTCCTCCCCATCCTCCGAGCAGGAAGCTGACTGACCCCTACCCTTTGGCCTGGCTTCTCACCCTCCTGGCTCCAGCCAGCCCATTTCCTTGCATCAAAGGCCATTTGGTACCCAGCGGCCAGACAGAGGTGTGGGCCTGCCTGACAGGGAGGCCCTTGGGAGCAGGAAGGACATCCTCTCCTTCAGCTGGGAGGGGTAGCTGGTCCTGTCCCAAAAACTTGCTATAGAGCCAAGGCTGCGGGACCAGCCTAATAGAGAAGGCCCAGGAGGCAGCTTCACATGCAGGGGAGCTTGTACACTATTCCTACTGCTTACTCTGGACAAGACACCCAGGCTGGGCAAGCCAGTTCCCACAGGGACCATGACGGAGTCAGAATTCCAAAGAACAAGATTTAAGACCCTGTCAGAAATATCTAATCCATGCCCCTCCCATACCACCAAGCAGAGAATTTTTTAATATATAAATTAACTGCTTTATTGAATATCAATAAACTGTACATATAACTATACAAAATGTTTCAATACAAAATGTTGTTTACAATATAAATACCAGTGTACCTTTAAAATGTAAACATCTTCCTCCCAGACCCACCTGTTGGGCCCCCAAAATAGTTCTGGGAGACACATTGGTCAGGCTGAAGCACCCCACCCACCTGGCCCTTAACAAGTGATGGCCATTACTCATGGTCCCTTCTGAGACACTGTTAAACTGCTGTGAAACAGGTGTCACCAGGACAAAGGGGGCTGAAATAGCTGCCCAGGCCCAGAGCCATCTGAAGGTCTGGACACTGTGTCCAGCAACCACCTGACAGGTGGGATTATTGCATAGTTTTTGTCCCACCTCAAGGAAGGTGGCCTGAGCGTTCCTTGAGGGAGGTAGGGGAGTGTGGTCCCCTGAGTGGGGTGGGAGCTTCCAAGCCAGTGGGTTGGCTTCTGTCCTGTGGCTCAAAGCAGCTGTGTCCAGACAGCTCTGGACACACACACCCAACAGAGGCTCCATCTCGGGAATGCTGAGTGGCTGGGAGGACTCCAAGGCCCACGGCCCTCCATCTGCTGTCTGCAGAGATGGCCAGAGAGCCAGGCAAAGACCAAAACCAGATATGGCCTCAGCAGAGTCTGTGGACCAAGACAGTCAGATAAGCGACTGGAGGGAATCTGGGCAGTGAGGAGGACAGGCTCCTTCTAGAACCAGGGAGATGCTGGGAGGCGGTAGGGTCAGCGTGGGCCCCCAGAGCAGCCAGATTCTTGGTGTTTGTGAAGCAAGGACATTCGGGAGAAGGTGCGGGCACATGCCTGGCACTGGTACTTCTTAACATCCGAGTGGGTCTGCAGATGGGCACGCAGGTTGGATCTGTCGGCGAAGGCTCGACTGCAGTGGGAGCAGGAGAAAGGCTTCTCACCTGAGGAGACACCAGAAGGTTCGAGAGGCCTGCTTGGCCCTGATGTATCCTGTGAGCCCAGCAGAGCCAGGCCATGCTACATCTACCATGCCCTAAATCTCTGCTATTACCTGCTCTGCTGTCCCGAGGACCAGAGGTTTTGCTGAGGGACCCCCACCCCCCGCCGTCCCGGCTCCCTCACAGAATGGGAGTGATCAAGTCTTCCCCAACTGGCAGGTACAGAAAATCCTTTTACTGATTACCTCGTCACTTGACCCTTCTGTGATCCTCATATTAAAGATGGGGAGACCGAGGCACAGAAGGTAAGCAGCAGGTTCCAGGTCACCCAAAAGGTCTCCAGTCCTTGGTTTTAACTACTGTGCATACTGTGGCTTCACCAGGGGAGGCTGTGGCTGGTGTTTGTATTATCAGTCAGTCATTCCTTGATTTACTTTGTCTGGGACAAAGCTTAAGAGGCAGCATGGAGAGGCCTCCCCACCCCCACCAGAGCTGGTAAAGCCACTCCTCTGGGCCCAGCAACCTACAGCACTGAAATCCCAAGTTTCCTGACTGTCCCCCTACCAGACCAGTCTAGTGATGGTGGGGAAGCTCTCTTCAGCTTACTCAAACCCAGCTAGGGTCTACAGACACGGGACCCTGAAACCCCATCTGCCCAGCCAAGGTTGTACTAAAGATGGACGCTGTGTACAGAAGTGCTCAATAAATGTTCACAAAAATCAACAAATGTGCCTTAAAGAAGGGGTAGGGACTGACTGAGCATGGTAGCTCACACAATCTCAGTGCTAGAGAGGCAGAGGGAAAAAGATCTCACATTTAAGCCCAGCCTGGGCTACAAAATAACAAAATCAAGTATCTGTTGAAGTCCTATTAAGTGCCAAGCACTATTCATAAAACTGAATATCCTTCAAGAACAAGAGGGGTCCCTTCCCCTCTGTCCTCCCTCTTAACCAGCTAGCCCACAGGTCATGACCCTTTGGTTGGATCCTAGGTAGGGCTGGAATTCAAGAGCTGCTGAATGAAGTATGCTGGGCCTCCGGGAGTCCCAGGAGGGCTCCTGTGGGACCCACCCACTCAGCAGGTGTTTAGATCAGAGCTGGCTCCATGCTAGGGGCACATACCCATGGAAACACACCACCCGGCAGCAGGGAGCCCCAGAACCCTGGGGAAGGATGTCCACCATGATGGAGTACCACAGCAACCTGCAGGTTTCCAACAAGACTCCTCTGCATAACCCAGCTCTGCCTACGTGGATGTAGACCTGGGTAGAGGCCCCATGAGTTGGGGGCAATGACATCCCCAGAGCTTTACTGCCAGTTAGCAGGGAAGGGGTAAATTTGAACATAGTGTGGAGGGGAATTACAGGATGGGATGGGGTAGAGGGGGAGCCTGTGGGCATGCCCAGGAAGTGTAGACCCCCGCTTCTCACAGATCTCCACCTCCCAGACGCCTTTATGATGTTCCTGGCAAGTGTGAAATCGGCACCAGACCGGCGGGGACAAAGGCTGCCAAGGGGGGGCACTGTACATGCGATACCCCCTGGATTAAAGGGGCCTGCCACGCAGCAGGCCAGCAGCTGCGGCCGGAACAGGTGCTGGGCACCACTGCCCCATGCACCTGCTCCACCCCTCCCAACCCCCACCCCTGAGCCACCATTAAGACACACAATAGGACTCCATGGGGACAGGGTGGTGCATTTCAACAGGGGTTTTGTCTGAGCCATGCCTTTACATTAAAATAAGGTCCCTGCTGATGGGAGGCAGCCCAGGACCAAAGGAGAGCTCCCTTGAGCCTGGCAGCAGGAGGCCAGGCAGTTAACCTTTAAATTTGGGACAATGTGTGCCCAGAGGAAGAGAAATGGGCAGCCTTATTCATGAACTAAGGATGCCAATAAGACCTACAAAATGCCACCTCTCACCTCACCAGCCCTCACTACTCCAATTCTGGCCCACAACAGGAGATGTAGTAGAATTCCATCTCCAACTGGCCAGCTCAGGGCCCCAAGGCTTGATAGCTGTGACCCTTGAACTTTCTCCAACTCACTCTTTAGATCACCCCAAAACAGCAGCCTTCACCATCAAGATTGTATATTGCTTTCCCTCCTTTCTGGAAAGCTTCCCACATATCCAGCATGGTGGTTTTGAGATACTGGCAAAGTCCTTTCTTGGGCTGCAGCCCTGAGTGGGAGAGGTGAAAACAGACCTAAGTAGCATAGTGATAAAGTATCTAGATAAAATATCCAAGCGGTTAACCACCTTCATAGTCACTCCCTAAGGCCTGGACCATCCCAATCCTAAGGCTCAGAGAAGTTAAATCACTTGCCCAAGGTCACAGAGCACCAGCTAACCCTTTTTTTTTGAGCTGCTCCTACATCTCACACTTCACCTGCTTTCCACATTCTTCCATTTAGTCTGTACAGAAACCCACAAGGTGTTCTTGGGCTTGTTTTAGTTCTCAACTCAGAATTCAGGGCCAGATGGAGGAGAATCTGACAACAGTCCTGTCTAGCTGGGTAGAAGGAGGGGGAGCAGGATGGGTCCCCCTTTATTCCCCACCTAAAAGCTGCAAGGAGCTGGCTGTGTATAGAACCTGTCTATTTACCATCTGCTTGGCAGGGTCAGGCTGATGTGGTTACGGGCAGGAGAAGCAAGTGTGAGCCCACCAGGGCCAGGGGCCAAGCAGGCCAGGCTCAGCACTCAGGGCAGGGAGATCAGGAGGCAGTGTGCATATGGGAAGACTCACCAGTGTGGGTGCGGACGTGGCCCTGCAGCAGCCAGGGCCTGGAGAAGGCCTTCCCGCAGGTCCCACAGACGCAGGGCAGCGTGTGGCTGCGGATGTGCATCTTCAGGGCGCCCAGGCTGAGGTATTCCTTGTTACAGTATTTGCAATTGAAGGCCTTCCGGGACTGGGGGTCCTTGGCCACCGAGAGCCGAGCCAGTTGCTTGGGCAGTTGGCCTAAGCCGGAGAAGGCAACGAAGGCCTCAGCCTCCAGGGAAGAGGCGGAGGTGGAGGAGAAGGACGAGGGGGCCGGCGAGGGCGGGCTGGGCGGCTGGGAGCCTTTGCCGCTGTCCTCATCCGACAGGGAGGTCAGCTCTGTCGCCTTGGGGCTCTCCCGGGGCGGAAGGGAGGCCCAGGCAACCGGTTGCACTTGGGGCACCAGGAGCGAGTCCCAGATGAGGGTGGGCAGAGAGGCGGCGGGGTTGAGGACCTCGGGCGGAGGGATGGCGGCCAGCAGGTGGACCTGGTCGTAGGGCTGCTGGAAGGTAAACTCTGCGGGCAGAGGGAAGGGCAGAGGGTCAGGCTGATCCGGTTTTCGATCAGGGGCCAGTGTGAGCCCACCGGGGAGCCAGGAGGACCCCACAGAGGGGCACCGAGATGGGGGCACCCTCAGCCTGCTACCCCGCCCCCGCCCCTCCCCCACCTGGACTCCGGACTCTGCTGTCCGGTCTACACTCGCGGAGGCTCCCCGCTGCGGACCATGGGTCCTCTGGGACCCCAGCTCTCCCCCATCCGCCAAGATCCGGGGCTCTGGATCCACCTGTCGTCCCTGCCCCACCACGTCCTTCCTCTCCTTCCCGGACGCCCCCCACCCGAGTTCCCAACACCCCATCACCCACCCAGACACGCGTCCTGCAGTTCGCTGTAGTTGGGCTTCCGGCGGGGGTCGGACGGCTTCCTGACGAGGAAGGAGCGCGGCATGGTGGCCGAGGTGGCCGGGGCAGCCGGGGTTGCAGGGTCGCGCAGAGGCGGCGAGCAGCTTTGCTCGCCTGGCCGGGCTGCCGCACTGTGTGTGAGTCGAAGACGCCCGGCCAACTCCTTTAAGTACGCGGGCGGGGGCGGGGCCTGGAGGGGCGGGCCCACGGGAGATCACGCCCCTTTGTCAACGCTGCGCCAATGGCGAGCGGCGCCCTCGCCCGAGGCCACGCCCCAAGCAGGTGCGCCCGGGCTGGCGGGGTTCGCGCCGCGTGGCGCTGGGATCCGGCCGCGGGCTCCTCCCTGGCGGGCTGGAGCTCGGCGAGAAGGGAACCCCGGCCCGCCCCGCAGCACCCCGCGCCGCCGCCCGGTCCGAGCGCCTCGGGCGCCCCCTGGCGACGCCTCGCGGCCCGGACACCTGCCCTTCGCTAAAACACCTCTGCCCTGGGCTGGGGAAGGGAAAGGGAATTTCCTTCCCGCTGACGCTTTGCGGAGAGCAGGGCACGGAGGGTGCTAAGGGGCTGCTGCTGGCTTCTATGCAATGCAGTCTGCTCGCCAAAAAAATTGCATTGATTCCCTTCCTTCGCACATGCTCACCTAGCACCCACTAGGAGCTGCCTATACTGCCCCGAACAAAACACTCAGGTCTCTGACTTCCAGTCCGGTGGGGGAGAGGAAGCAAACAGAGGATTATGATGCAAAAAGACAGTGTGCTTTGATGGAGGGAGGTGGGAGAGAGACTGTGACAGTCAAGAGGCGGTCACCTGACAGGGGGTCAGGGATGACTTCCCAGAGGAAGTGAAGAAACACGGAGGGGAAGGCCCGAAGTAAGAATCAGTAACTTCTGCAGAGCCTCTAAGAGCAACTCCCAGAGGTGGGGGTGGGGGTGGGGTGGGCAGGCCTGGAGGGGTCGGATTTGCTGACTGCGAAGAGGGGTCTCCAAGGAGTTTGGACTTTGCCTTCAGGGCACTGGGGAGCCACGGGAGGATTTTCAGCTGAGGAGGGCCCTATTTAGAGGTGCGTTGTGAAACACTACTGAGGGCATGTGGGAGGCAGAGGTAGCAAAGGTGGGTCTCATAACGGCTCTGAGAATCCTGTGTCCTGTGTTGGAAGAATCACAGGGAGGAGCGCTGCCACCTAGCACTAGGCTGGCCCTAGAACCCAAGCCCACAGCCCAGAGGGCTACAAACACCTGTAAAATGTAAGGGCTGTGGAAACCTCTGGGTCCCCCTTATCAACAACAAGACTGTTTTGATCCCTAGGTGCTGAGGGTCTCACATGAACAGAACACTCTTCACTGCCTTCGGGAGAGGGTTGTCAGACAACAGGTGGCCACTATACAGAACATTCTGCCTGCACCTCAGATTAGTTCATGAATGTCTATACTTGCTACTAGCCAGAGAAGACCCTCCTCTCACTTCTTCCCACTTCTCCCCTGTCCTGACCACTCAGCGAACTCCTGCTGACCTTGTCTTCCCTCTCACCTAATCACAAGGACCCACTCTTTATGTTCCTCCAACACAACGCTTTCCTTCCTCAGGACTGAGGCACCTGCCATCCACCCTCCGCTCCTCAAACCTCCTCACCTGGCTAGTAGCTTCTTCTCATCCTTTGTTTCAGCAGCAACAGCCCCCCCCCTCATTAGTATGTAAATGAAACTGGCAAGGAGAGGCCATTTCACACCCTCACACCTGCCTGAAGGCCAAAAAGTAAAACCTTGGTCAATCCAAGTGTTGATGAGGATGAAGAGCTTGTGGGAGTGTGAATAGGCACAGTCACTTGGGAAAAGTGTGACTTGGCCTGACAGGTGACTCTCTGCACCGGACAAGCCTTCTTCCTAGGCTGGCTGCCACCCAGAGGTTCTCAGATGTGGTTTTCCTAGAGAGTGTCTAAAAACACCTAAGCCTGAAGCCTGCCCTCACCTGAAGACACATCCTGATTTAATTGATTTAATTATCTGGGGTGGGGAAGTTGCCACCAGCTTTTAAAAGAAAAACAAAAAACTCCCTTGGTACTTCTAAAGAGCAACCAGAGTTAAAAGAATCCAAACCTAGCCCCAAACCCAGTCCAAACAAAAGAATAATCTTGATACCTGTGTTCTTAATAGCAAAAAGAAACCACAAAACCCCCATATACCAACGAGATGTTTATCCACAGTAGACTAGATCATAGCCTAGATCAACAAACTGAACCGCAAACCCACAACTGAAGACCTATACAGCAATAAAAAGTAACTACAGCAGGAGATGCCATCCACGCTTGTATTCCCAGCACTTTGGAGGAGTTCAAGGCCAACCTGGGCTACATAGTGAGACCTTGTCAAAAAAGAAAAAAAGAAAAAGAAAGGAGGTTGGAGAGGATGGCTCCATGGGTAAGAGCTCTGGCTGTTCTTGCAGAGGACCTGGTTTGATTCCCAGCACCCACATGGCAGCTTACAACCGTTTGTAACTCCAGTTCCAGGGGATCTGACACCCTCTTATGGCATCTACCAGCACTGTATGACTCGGGAGCATTTACATACAAACAGGCAAACTACCCATACACATAAAATAAAAATAAGTAAAATTTTCTAAAATAAGGCTTTCCTGCCAGACCCCCCCCCAAAAAAGGCAGAAGGTATGCCACCTTTATTATTTAAAAGAAAAAAAGTCAGGAAAAAAAGAGAAGCAGAGTAAAATATAAGCAAAAAACAATGAATGGAACAGGAATAAACCTCAAAACACAGTGTTGCACATAGGAAGCCAGAAGCAGAGGTGTGGAGTTTATTGGATTTATACAGGGTCTCCCTGTAGCCCCAGCTGGCCTGGAACTCACTATGTAGACCAGCCTGGCCTGGAACTCACAGAGATCCATCTGTCTCTGCCTCCCAAGTGTTGGGATTAAAAGCAGGCATCACCACGCCCAGGCCTTAATTTATTTTTTAAAGGCACCTGCCTCCCCAGTTCTAGGATTAAAGGCATGCACCACCACACCCAGCCTACTATTTTTTTTTTTTTTTGAGACAGGGTCTCCTTGACTTGCTGATCTTCCCGCATCCAGTGACCCTGTGCTGAGATAACAGGTGCACAACCAGTGTATTCGGTGCTGGATATGAAGCCCAGGGCTGTGTGCATGCTACATGCTACACAGGCACCCTACCAACTGAGCTACATCCAGAGCCCCCAAATTCTTTTGATTTTTTTATTGTTTGAGATAGGGTCTCTAGCCCAGGCTGCCCTCAGACTTGCTCTGTATCCTAGAATGGCCTCAAAGTCCTTTTCCTCCTCTTCTACCTTCTGAGTGCTGAGATTACAGGTGTGTACTACCATGCCCAGTTTTAGGAAATGCTGATGATCAAACCCAGGACTTCATGTGTGCTTAGGTGAGCCCCACTGACCAACCTTAGAATGACATATTTAACACATAACTGAGCCCCTTAGAATGACCAGCCTTAGAATGACATATTTAACACATCCAAAATATTATGCATTCAGGAGGCCCTAGGTTCACTCTCCAGCACAATGAAAAACAAAACACACACAACCTCCACCAGAGAACTGAGCTAAACAGGACCTACCCTGCCCTCAGTACCCCTTTCCACCCCATAATGCCATTCAGTCATGGTCAAAGCAGGGAGTGGAGACCTGGCCCAGCACTTGGTGAATGACTGATTATCAAATCAACTCCAGGGGGCTCTTTCAGGTGGAAATTACCTAGGCCCTGACTGTAAAGAATAGGTAGCTAAACCCAGTATAGTGGCCCAGGCCTTTAATCCTAGCACTGGGGAGGCAGAGGCAGGTGGAACTCTCTGAGTTCCAGCCCAGCCTGGTCTACATAGGGAGTTCCAGGCCAGCCAGGGTTACAAAGTTGAAACTTTGTCTCAAGAAGTAGGTGGCTATCTGAATGTGGTGGTGTAAGCCTATAATCTTAGCCCTCAGGAGGACCTAGAGTTCAAGGTCATCCTCAGCTACCCATGGAGTTCAAGGCCAGCTTGGGCTGAGACCCAGCCTCTGCTATCTCAGATGTCTGACAGGTGAACCAGGCTGGAGGATATCTCAGTTATCCAGGCGCGGCTTCCCAGCAGGCGGTCTCCAGTCTCTCCTGCTAGGGGAAGCTCAGGGACCGAGAACCAGCTCCCAGGTGCAGGCAGGAGGCCTGAATCTTCTGGCAGGGAGGCCCAGGTTTTTATGAGGTCTCTCTACCAGGCTAGTTTCATATTGGGTGTCCTCTTGCCTCAGCTTCCCGAGTGCTAGGTTCCTGGAATGTGCTGGTGCAGGTGACCCTTTGGATGCTGCGGTGCTGTTGGTGCTTCCCAAGCTCTGCGCCCCCTGCTCCCCGCCGGTCCTCCCCTCGCCCCGCGCAGTCCTCCTCCGCCCTCTGGTGGCCAAGGCGCTTCCCTGCGACTGTCGCGGTCCATGTCACATTGGCGGGCGTAAAAACCCCCGCGCAGGTGCTTCGGAGGGAAATCGGAGCCTTTTAATGTAACCAGGAAGGGCTTCTGGAAAGAAGATACGTTTGAATAGATGGCCTATATTTTCTACACGTGTTCCTTTCCAGAAGACTAAAGATATGATTTACAACCAACCAAAGGAAATCTCCCTCCATCCCAGACCATAGCTATGGAAGGAGTCTCCAGACAAACGATAGGCTAGGGGTTAGACACATATACATGTATGTTTATTAACAGAACCACCCTTTGTCACCACGGATGGGTATCTTCATGCTAGATAATGCTATGCAGTAACAGTGTTGTTTTGAGACAGTCTCACATAGTCCAGGCTGGCTTTGAACTCACTAGGCAGCAGAGGCTGACCACCACATCCTGGTGTGTTGGCAGGGTTGTGGGTTTTTTTTTGGCAAGTTCTTATTAGCATGTATTAATTACACATAATAATGGGTTTCATTAAGACATTTTCATGCATGTATAAAAAGATTTTGATTATATTGGACCCCCGTTGCCCTCTCCTGCCCCCTCCATTCCCTTCCTCCTCTTTCTAACTACTACATGTTGGGGCTTTTGTTGTTAAGTGTGTGTGGTGCTTCGGATGAGAATCCAGGGCCTTGCACATGCTGGGCAGGCACTTTATATCCTCAGCCCTTTTTAAGCCCTTTTTA